CTAGCTGGGTGTGGTGGCGTGCACCTGTAGTCCCAGCTACTCGGGAGGCTGAGGCAGGAGAATTGCTTGAACCTGGGAGGCAGAGGTTGCAGTGAGCCGAGATTGTGCCACTGCACTCCAGCCTGGCGCCTGGTGACAGAATAAGACTCTGTCTCAAAAAAGAAAAAAGAAACCCAAATTTTTATATAAAACATACAACTAATTCACCTTTCTAAAAACAATGGGTAGACCTGTATTTTCAACCTTTGATCTATAGCACATATTTAATTATTTTCTAACCAATTCAAACACATAAACCTCATCACCGCACTTGGAAGAATGCTAAGCACATTGCAGGCCCTCAATAAAAGCTGATTGAAGTTGTAACTTAGTCAATGGACTTATTCATACTCTTCACTTAGGGAGGAATTTCTGGACTGTTTCAGTGCTTGGGTAAGGTTAAGGAATACTACCTTGACTATGATGAAAATAAGGGAGATGCAATCACTTTTTTCTTTCTAGTCAATTGAATCACTATGATTTGATACTTTGTTATGAACTAAACTCTATGATTATGATAAATTAGCCTTAGTATACTGCACACAAGATTTAGTGACTTCTTTTCATGAGTGACTATAGGCCTTTAATCAGTAATCACTGAAATTGTATTTTACTGGTCCATGTCTTGTATGTTACTAACTGACCAGACTTACTCATTCTTTCCCTGTGAAAACACCACTAAATGTAATGACTCAAATGGTACGCTTTACCTCCATAAGGGAATTATAACATGAGGGAAAAAAACATGAAATTTGGAGGCAGACATACCTGAGTTCAAATCCTAGTGATGACCCTTGCTGTATATTCCTAAGCAAGTAGTAAACTTCTTGGGTGTCTCATTTTTCTCATCTGTAAAATGGGACAATGAACTCTACTTACAAAATTGTTATGAAAAGTAAATAAATAATATAAAATGCTTGGAACTTTTCCTGGCCCACAGTGGAGAATATAAAATATTAGTAGCAATTCCCCTCGCTTACTTAGTGTATATCTCAGTTCAGAATGTTTCCCCTTTTTAGCTATAAAGTGGGTCAACTCATATTTACCTAGTATTCATAGTATTTTAACTTTGTATGTAGTACTTGGAAATACTAAGAAAATTTGCCAGGTTTCAATTACAAACATGAATACCCAGGCAAACTAATATAATAACACAATTACACAATTTACAGGTTGGTTCATTTCCTAGCCATAAAACAATACAAATATTTCTTGCTATAAAACAACACTGATACACATTTCTAAAAGTGTTCTAAAGTGAAGGTTTTTAGCACCATAACAAATTTACACCTCTGGTAGGTAAAAAATTTGCACAGATGGGTGTGTGCATGGACAGACACACCATTGATAGATAAAGGGTCATCACTCTAAAAAAGTTAATTTTTTCCCTAAGTATCTGATATATTCATAATTCAAGGTTTAACTTCATGATCGATGCCAAAGAGAAATTTATTCTTACACTGAAAGTACATTTATTGAAACTTTGCGTTCAACCAAGATGAAGTAATGGACTGAATTTACTCTTCCACCTAAAACAACCAAATCGCAGGACAAAATATGAGAAACAACAGGTTTTCAAGATTCCACACGAAACAAAGAAGGACAGTGATTGCTGAGCAATGAGAAACAGTTAAGGTGAGCCCTGCAATAGGCCCATCTTTCTACCTTTAAAGAGTGTCCCAGGCCGGAGCACAGAACAGGTGTCTTAGTCTGTTTTGTGTTACTACAACAGAATACCACAAACGGGGTAATTAATTTATAAAGAAATTCGTTTCTCACAGTTCTGGATGTTGGGAAGTCCAAGGGCTTGCATATGATGAGGACTTTTTTGCTGCATCATCCCACAGTAGAAGGCAGAAAGGCAAGACAGAATGTATACAGCCTTTAAATTATAAATTCCGTCTTTAAATTATCTCTTTCCTGTCTTATTTTACTGTAAGAGGTCAAAAGTAGCCATGTGCAGCATGGAGGACTTGCTGTTTAGAGATTTCTTTTACTAGATATCCTAGTTCCTCACTCTTAAATTGCACTTTTCATAAAGCCTTTGGGCAGGGACAGGGCTCATCCCAGTTATTTGCTACTTTGTAACAAGGATTGCCTTTGCTCTAGTTTCCAATACCTTGTTCTTCAGTTCCATCTGAGACCTCATCAGAATGGCCTTTACTGTCCATATTTCTGTCATTATTCTGGTCAAAACCACCTAAGCAATCTCTAAGAAGCTCCAGACTTTTGCTAGTCTTCTGTTTTTGAGCCCTCACTAGAATTGCCCTTAATATACCACTCACAGCAATCCAAGTTTTTTCTACCTTGCTACACAAATTCTTCCAGCCTCTATCCAATATCCAGTTCCTAAGCCACTTCCACATTTGCAGGTAGTATTTGTTATAGCCACAGCCCTACTTCTCAGTGCCAGTTTTCTTAGTCCATTTTATGTTGCTATAACTGAATACAACAGATTGAACAATTTATAAACAAAAGAAATTTATTGGCCAGGCATGGTGGCTCATGCCTGTAATCCTAGCACTTTGGGAGGCCGAGGTGGGTGGATCACCTGAGGTCAGGAGTTCAAGACCAGCCTGGCCATCATGGTGAAACCCCATCTTTAAAAAAAGAAAGAAAGAAAGAAATTTATTTCTCATAGTTCTGGAAACTAGGAAGTCCAAGGTCAAGAAGAGTGCATCTCGTGAGGGCCTTGATGCTGTGCCATTCCATGGTAGTGAAGAGGTAGACTCGGCATCTTAGATCAACTTCCCTTTTCCTAAGACTATAAGCTTCTCCTTTTCATTCCTAAGACTGTAAACCAAAGCCCTTTTCATATGTAATTCCTAAGACTGTAAACCGAAGCCCTTTTCATATGTAATTCCTAAGACTGTAAACTGAGACCCCTTTCATATGTAATTCCTAAGACTATAAACTGAGACCCTTTTCATATGTAATTCCTAAGACTGTAAACTGAAGCCCTTTTCCTATGTAATTCCTAAAACTGTAAACTGAGACCCTTTTCCTATGTAATTCCTAAGACTGTAAACTGAGACACTTTTCATATGTAATTCCTAAGACTGTAAACTGAGACCCTTTTCATATGTAATTCCTAAGACTGTAAACTGAAGCCCTTTTCCTATGTAATTCCTAAGACTGTAAACTGAGACCCTTTTCATATGTAATTCCTAAGACTGCAAACCCAAACGCTTTTCATATGTAATTCCTAAGACTGTAAACTAAAGCCCTTTCCATATGTAATTCCTAAGACTGTAAACCCAAACCCTTTTCATATGTAATTCCTAAGACTGTAAACTGAGACCCTTTTCATATGTTAAGCTATGAACATAAGATTCTTCCACATCTAAAGTATAAGCCTATATAAAGAAGGAACCTTCCTTTGTTAGGCGAGCTTGGATATTATGCAAATATGCCACCTGGCTCCCAGCCGAATAAACTCTTTCCTCCAATATTCGGTGTCTGAGAGATGTTTCCTGTGGCCACTCCTGAAACAGTAGAAGGCAGAAGGGCAAGAGCGCACACAGGGGAAGGGAGCAAAGCTCATCCTCTTTCATCAGGAACTTGCTCCTGCAATAACCCACTCCTATAACAACAACATTTATTCTTTCATGAGGGCAAAGCCCTCATGACTAATCAACCCTTGGAAGTCCCAACTCTCAGTATTGTTACCCTGGAGATTAAGCTTCTAACACAAACTTTGGGGAACACATTCAAGCCACAGCAGAGAGGGAACATAGGCAGACCCCCCGCATATTCCCTACGTAGAAAAAGTAGAGTGCAAAAATACCAGGGCAGCTGGAGTTTGGAAACAGAATATTAGAGAGGAGAGGTTCACAGAGAGGAAATGCTGGAAAGCTCTTTAGTCCTCCCCATGTATTCAGCAGAATACTAATGTAAGGAATAAATGTAAGGAAACTGTGAAGCCTAGATAATAACCACCCAAAACATTAAGGGGAAACTGTATGCAGCATACACACAGTCTGGGAATAGTACCTCTGTATATTTCGCACTGTCCTGCTTCTCCAGTTGAGCACATATATACATACTTAAAGAAACTTGCTGGCCGGGTGCAGTGGCTCAAGCCTGTTATCCCAGCACTTTAGGAGGCTGAGGTGGGTGGATCACGAGGTCAAGAGATCGAGACCATCCTGGTCAACATGGTGAAACCCCGTCTCTACTAAAAATACAAAACATTAGCTGGGAATGGTGGCGTGTGCCTGTAATCCCAGCTACTCAGGAGGCTGAGGCAGGAGAATTGCCTGAACCCAGGAGGCAGAGGTTGCGGTGAGCCGAGATCGCGCCATTGCACTCCAGCCTGGGTAACAAGAGCAAAACTCTGTCTCAAAAAAAAAGAACCTTGTTACAGGGAATTGGCTTATGCAGTTATTAGGCCTGGTTAAGCAGCTTCCGTAAGGCTGTGTCTCTGCATCTGATATGGAGTCCATAGGGAAGGAAGTCAGCAAGGCAAGGAAATGTCAAGAAAAGACCATCACAAACAAGCTGAAACCCTGTAATCACGAGGTAGGACTCCATGAGGATAGACTGAAATCCATGTCCTTGTTTGCTGCGTCTGACCTTGGTGCAATGGTATTCTGCAGAGGCAGGCGCTTTTTTTTTTTTTTTTTTTTTTTTTTTTTTTTTTTTTTTGAGACAGTCTCTGGTTCTGTCAATCAGGCTAGAGTACAGTGGTACTCATCTTGGCTCAGTGCAGCCTCCACCTCCCAGACTCAAAGATAGCCTCCCACCTCAGCCTCCTGAGTAGCTGGGACTACTGGCAATGCCACCATGCCTGGCTAATTTTTTGTATTTTTTATAGATCAGGGTTTCACCATGTTGACCAGCCTGGTCTCAAACTCCTGAGCTCAAGTGATCTGCCCACCTCAGCCACCCAAAGTGCTGAGATGACAGGTGTGAGCCACCATGCCTGGCCAGGGCTCTTTATTATGGAACTAAAAACATACCTGGCTCATGAATAAAGAAAAAGTGAAGAAAAATCGAGAGAAGGTACCACAATTGTAGGCTCAGACACTGTTCATGCCATTGCGGTGAGTCAGCTACAAAAGTGCTTCTTTCCCTCCCGTTTCCAAATTGTGAAAGAATAGGTCTGTGACCCACCCAACCTGTAGACACACAAGAAAGGAAGTTCTGTGAAATGTAGTTCAGCCTACTCAAGTTTTTACATTATAAAGCCATCCCATAGAGAGAGAGAAAAGAAGAAAAAAAGAGCATCAATGAACAGTGAACAAGTAACCTTAAACATGTGTAACAGGAGTCTCCAAAATAGAGAAGGGTGAGACAGAAAAAAATGCTAAGTAAAAATGGAGAAAAATTTTCAAAATCTGATGAATATTATAACTCTGAGAGCCAATGTAGGAAATAAGAATAAATAAAAGGTGGCCGGGCGCGGTGGCTCAAGCCTGTAATCCCAGCACTTTGGGAGGCCGAGGCGGGTGGATCACCAGGTCAAGAGATCGAGACCATCCTGGTCAACATGGTGAAACCCCGTCTCTCCTAAAAATACAAAAAATTAGCTGGGCATGGTGGCGCATGCCTGTAATCCCAGCTACTCAGGAGGCTGAGGCAGGAGAATTGCCTAACCCAGGAGGCGGAGGTTGCGGTGAGCCGAGATCGCGCCATTGCACTCCAGCCTGGGTAACAAGAGAGAAACTCCGTCTCAAAAAAAAAAAAAAAAAAAAAAAAAAAGAATAAATAAAAGGTTCCTCTTCAAAGCTTTCCTCCTAGTTTATTACAAATAAATTTCTTCAAAGGTTAATTTACTTTAAAGCTTTTGCTAATAATCTTAAAGTGGCTGTTAGTCATAATAAAGAAATAAGTGCATGGCCGGGAGTGGTGGCTCATGCCTGTAATCTAAGCACTTTGGAGGCCAAGATGGGTGGATAACCTGAGGTCGGGAGTTCAAGACCAGCCCGACCAACATGGTGAAACCCCGTCTTAAAACAAACAAACAAACAAAAAGAAGTAAGTGCATTCCGTGTTCTTACATTTTAACCTAGATATTTGCCCTGACATGTCTGGACAAGCCCAGGCAAATCTCAGGTTATAGCTTATTCCCCTTCCTTATGTGGAAATGTTATTGCCTCTCTAAGCATTCTCAAGTGACTTCCTCTTTTCCTTTGTTCTCCTCTGCCCTTACCTCTTTAGAAAATTTCCAAGTTTTTAGCCATCTGGGTCAAGCGTAGAATGTGAGGTCCCATTCCAGCCAATGGAAACTGGACACAGCAGTAGGGAGATGGCGTCAGGTTATGAAAGTTACAAACGTCCCTGTCTCCTTTGTCAAGGTGTGCTCTCGTGGCAAGACTGTCGGGGAGCTGCACCCTCCCTGCAGGAAGGAAGACCAGCCTTGCTGAGTGATCCATTGTCTCGGTGTGGATTCTTCCCAACGTTATAAACCCATTTCCAACATCCAACAAGCTTAATGACCCTTAAACACAGGAAACTTAATAAAATCTCTATACCAAGGCATGTAATAATCAAATTGCTCAAACTGCTCAAAACTAGTGATGAAGGCAAAAACTTAAAAGCAGTCAGAGAAAAAAAAATTTACATACAAGGGACCAAAGATACAATGACAGCAGATTTCTCATTGTTTTTAAGACAGTGGAGCCACAACTTCAAAGTTCTGAAAGAAAAAAAAATAGGCCAGGCATGGTGGTATAAGCCTCTAATCCCAACACTTTGGGAGGCCAACAGGGGAGGATCGCTGGAGCCCAGAGTTTGAGACCAGCCTGGGCAACCTAGCACGCCCCGTCTCTATTAGAAAGACAACAATAATTGTCAGCATAGAATCATATACCCAACAAAAACAGTCTTTGGAAAATGAAGGTTAAATAAAAATATTTCAGACACACAAAAATGAAGAATTCATCACGTTCAGATCCACACAACAAAAAATAACAAAGGAAGTTCTGCCAGCAGAAATAAAATAATACCAGACAAAAACATGGATCTATGCAAAAAGAAATGGTAACTTTTTGGGTAAATACATATGAATTTTTCTTATTAAATCTCTTTAAAAGATAACCATTTTTAGGCTGGGCACAGTGGCTCACATCTGTAATCCCAGCATTTTGGGAGGCCAAAGCAGGTGGATTACCAGAGGCCAGGAGTTCGAGACCAGCCTGAACAACATGGAGAAACCTGTCTCTACTTGAAAAATACAAAATTAGGTGTGGTGATGCACACCTGTAATCCCAGCTACTCAGGAGGCTGAGTCAAGAGAATCGCTTGACCTGGGAGGCAGAGGCTGTGGTGAGCCGAGATCTCGTCATTGCACACCAGCCCAGGCAACAAGAGCAAAACTCTGTCTCAAAAAAAAAAAAAAAAGAAGAACATGAAGATAATTAACCATTTTAAACAAAATAAGAATGAAGTAGTACAAAGTAAAATGTATAATAACACAAAGGCTGGGAGGAAAGAAGCAAATGTACATGGTTGTCAAGCGCTAATACTATATGTAAAGTGGTACAAAATGTGTGTACCAAACATCCTATGAACAGATATATTTTTTTTTTTTTTTGAGACGGAGTTTCACTCTTGTTACCCAGGCTGGAGTGCAATGGCACGATCTCGGCTCACCGCAACCTCCGCCTCCTGGGTTCAGGCAATTCTCCTGCCTCAGCCTCCTGAGTACCTGGGATTATAGGCACGTGCCACCATGCCCAGCTAATTTTTTGTATTTTTAGTAGAGATGGGGTTTCACCATGTTGACCAGGATGGTCTCGATCTTTTGACCTCGTGATCCATCCGCCCCGGCCTCCCAAAGTGCTGGGATTACAGGCTTGAGCCACCGCGCCCGGCCATGAACAGGTATTTTGAGGCCCTACTTGCAATGATGAAAACAATTTACCCTCTCTCCTTGAGGTATTTACCTCCTCCTGTGCTCTCAGGAAGCTTAATCAGCTTTTAAACTGAGCAGAAAAACTGTGTGACAAGACCTCTTGTTTAAAGTGACCTTTTAGATATGTAAGTCCTTCACTGGCAATGCATTATGGAGCAAATGACATACGATGCAGACACTATTTGAATGTTAAAGAAATTATGCCTGTAGATAAGCTATATTGTTATATACTACCATTAAAGCTCATTCTAGGGTCACAAGAAAGGACTGAAAGTTCCACCTCCAGGTCAACTGAGATTACAACCAACATCTAACCAAAAGTCCTCAGGTTCATTCACAATAAATCTTCACAATTAATAATATTCAAACACATTTTTTAAACTTATTCCAGTAAGAAAGATGGAAATTACTCCCATTTAAACAGATGTGATTCTAAGAATATCTATTTTTAGGACTTGCATAAATTGCCAGAAATGGATCTGGCAATGTCAAGGTTACGTCTCACTGAAAAACAGACACAGTTGAACCTTTGAGGGGGGAAATGTGTCCTCCTGCTAGGTCTACCCTGGAGCAGATGGATATGTGAGCATGGATGGAGAGAGTGGGAATGGGCATGCCTGTTTGCTTCAAGCACCCACCATGCACATACTTGCCCTTTCCTAAGTGGGGAATATATTTAATCTTGTGGTAGCAAAGGGGTTTTGTTTGTGTTATTTATTCTGTATCCACCTTTCCTGGACTATTCCACTGAAATCAAGTTGTATAAATCGACTGACACCATTCCAATAAAAATTTTATTGTATGAACTAAAGTGACCAGGGCTGTGATGACATTTCACAGGAGCACAGGATCACAGGAAATGAAAAGGGAAACAGCATATATATTCTGTAGAAAAATGTATGATGTTCTAGAACTTGCCCCAACCTCACATCAGAATCAACTCCAAGCATTCTCATTGTACAACTCCTGGAAAAGGTTTTGAACAAATAAAGCTTCATCTTCCATGCCATACATTATAGTAAGTGCTTATAATACATTTTTCTGATGCATTTATTACAAAATCCTATGAGGTATAAATTAAGAAGTCCTTTTCGCCGGGCGCGGTGGCTCAAGCCTGTAATCCCAGCACTTTGGGAGGCCGAGGCGGGTGGATCACGAGGTCGAGAGATCAAGACCATCCTGGTCAACATGGTGAAACCCCGTCTCTACTAAAAATACAAAAAAAAAAAAAAAAAAAAAAAATTAGCTAGGCATGGTGGCTCGTGCCTGTAATCCCAGCTACTCAGGAGGCTGAGGCAGGAGAACTGGCTGAACCCAGGAGGCGGAGGTGGCGGTGAGCCGAGATCGCGCCATTGCACTCCAGCCTGGGTTAACAAGAGCGAAACTCCGCCTCAAAAAAAAAAAAAAAAAAAAAAAGAAGTCCTTTTCACAGAAGACTGAGACTTAGAGAGGTAAAATTTTCACAGCTATTAATGGTTAGACAAAAATATGATGCCAGATCTAACCCTTAAGCCTAGACCCTTACATTCTATTCTACAGCATAAATACACCACTGGATTCAGGTATATTCAAATCATACATTGGACCATAAGCCACTACTGCCCCAGAAGACCACAGGAAGATAAATTTTCAAGTGTCAGGGGTGAAGGAAAGAAAAATACCATGCTTTAGGCCAAGCTTACAACGGAAACCCCAATGCAGAGCTGTTAGGAAGGCTGGGCTGGAACATAAAGCCAAGGACTGGAGGCCTCTGAAGCCAAATCCCTCCCCTAACCCTAACTTAACTCATAGGACCAGCTGGCTCTATGGGAGATGGGAAACTGAAGAGATGAGAGAGCTCCAAGACATAGGAGAGAAAAGGGAGAAAAGAAGGTGGTTAGGTCTCCCCTACTGAACTTCCAGGCATTTGAGAAAAAAGGATAAGTGAGATACATTTACGTACATGCCTTGTCAACATACATTAGCTTTGTTCTCTAGTAAATATGCCCAGTCAAATGTCCCAAGAGCTTACCCCTCTGATTATCAACACTCGATCATGAACGGTGAATAAGCAGTTTTTGGGAGAGGTAATTCACCATGGGCCTTGAGGGTACTTGCATGTTCTTATTGGTTTTGCCAAGAATGCAAGGCCTGGACCCCATTATACCTTGGCCTTTTCTCAGGGTTGTGTTTGCAGGGAGCAGTCCTGAGGGATAAAGTAATACTGACCCCCCAATACAGGCTTGTTACTGCTTATAATAAAAGCAACAGACTCCGAAAATACGGTGTTCCTCTCCTGTAATACAACTCCCTGCATGTGCAGGCATCAATCAAGACCCACCTGTGTTGGACTTGGGTCCAATCCATGGGTCTTAGATTTGTGGGCATGGGAAACCAGCATTAACACTAGGCTCTGGCTACTGCTTTTACCATGAGTACTAAAGGCCTGTCTCTAATGTAAGAGTCTCAGTTTCAGTACTCATGAAACTGTGGCAAGGTAATCTGCTAGCTTGCAAGTAGGGTCAAATCTCAGACCCTTCATAGTTCTTGATACCAGGAGGATAGAATGAAAGGGAAGAAACTTGAGTGCAATCCTGCCCCTTTCTTGTGACTAAAAGTGGTGTGACATAAAAGTTGTGGAATGTATACACATTCTCTCCTAATTAAGATCACCAGCGGACAGTTGCCATGTCAGGGAAATTTCCTTGTATTTCTTGAGTTAACTCTATTTAGTCTTCAAACTTGTAGGTCCTTGAAACTTTCTTATTCTGATATTTGCTTAATAATTAAATGTGGGCCGGGCGCGGTGGCTCAAGCCTGTAATCCCAGCACTTTGGGAGGCCGAGGCAGGTGGATCACAAGGTTGAGAGATCGAGACCAACCTGGTCAACATGGTGAAACCCCGTCTCTACTAAAAATACAAAAAATTAGCTGGGCATGGTGGTGTGTGCCTATAATCCCAGCTACTCAGGAGGCTGAGGCAGGAGAATTGCCTGAACCCAGGAGGCGGAGGTTGCGGTGAGCCGAGATCGCGCCATTGCACTCCAGCCTGGGTAACAAGAGTGAAACTCCGTCTCAAAAAAAAAAAAAAAATAATAATAATAATAATAATTAAATGTGGCTTGGTTTAACTCTCCTTTTAAGTTCAAAAGCTCTCTGAAAATAAGAAAAACTATTGACTCTAACACATGCATAATTTTTGTTTCTGCTCAATATTATACTCTGTGGATACTCCACATATAATGTGCTAATTATAATCATGTTGCTCATCATCACTATTAACAAACACACAGCCCATTCACCCACCTTCCTTACTCTTCTCCCAGGAAAATGGGAGAGTGTAAAGCATATGATATTAGGAAACAGGCCTAGCTCATGACTTTCTCTTCTGTGGTTTGCTGCATCCATCCCCCCATCACCTACATCAGGCATTTCTCCCAATGTTATCCCTCCCAGTGCCGCTATGAACATACGTGTGCATGTGTCTTTATAATAGATTGATATATAATCCTTTGGGTATATACCCAGTAATGGGATTCCTGGGTCAAATGGAATTTCTATTTCTAAATCCTTGAGGAATCGCCACACCGTCTTCCACAATGGTTGAACTAATTTACACTCTCACCAACAGTGTAAAAGTGTTCCTGTTTCTCCACATCCTCTTCAGCATCTGTTGTCTCCAGATTTTTTAATGATTGCCATTCGAACTGGAGTGAGATGGTATCTTAATGTGGTTTTCATTTGCATTTCTCTAACGACCAGTAATGATGAGCATTTTTTCATGTTTGTTGGCCTCATAAATGTCTTCTGAAAAGTATCTGTTCATACCCTTTGTCCATTTTTGAATAGGTTTGGTTTTTTCTTGTAAATTCGCTTTAGTTCTGTGTAGATTCTGCATATCCAGGTATTCTTTTTTTTTTTTTTTTTGAGACGGAGTTTCGCTCTTGTTACCCAGGCTGGAGTGCAATGGCGCGATCTCCGCTCACCGCAACCTCCGCCTCCTGGGTTCAGGCAATTCTCCTGCCTCAGCCTCCTGAGTAGCTGGGATTACAGGCACGCGCCACCATGCCCAGCTAATTTTTTGTATATATATATATTTTTTTTTTTGAGACGGAGTTTCGCTCCTGTTAACCCAGGCTGGAGTGCAATGGCGCAATCTCGGCTCAACGCAACCTCCGCCTCCTGGGTTCAGGCAATTCTCCTGCCTCAGTCTCCCGAGTAACTGGGATTACAGGCACGCGCCACCATGCCCAGCTAATTTTTTGTATTTTTAGTAGAGACGGGGTTTCACCATGTTGACCAGGATGGTTTCGATCCACCCTCGTGATCCACCCGCCTCGGCCTCCCAAAGTGCTGGGATTACAGGCTTGAGCCACCACACCCGGCAATTTTTTGTATTTTTAATATAGACGGGGTTTCATCATGTTGACCAGGATGGTCTCGATATCTGGACCTCGTGATCCACCCGCCTCGGCCTCCCAAAGTGCTGGGATTACAGGCTTGAGCCACCGCGCCCAGCTTGTTAGTGTATTAATAAAGATACATGTTATGTATGTATTTTTTAATTTTAATATAATTGGTTTCCTTTGTAATCCTATGAACTTTATGAACTTAAAGCTTAAACAACTTCTCATTATTCATAGAAGGGGTTCAGCAGCTTCACAGGACTGCCATGGCACACATAAGAGTTAAGAATGCCTAAATTTTAGTCTGTCTCTTTGCTTCCAGAAAGCCAACCAAGTGTGACAATCGAACACCTGCCTGAGTGAGCCAATTCCCAAAGTCTCGGGTTTATTTCTTTCCTTGTGCGTGACTTGATGGGAAAATATTCCGGTTTCGTACATGACTCCATCAATTAACCTATTTGCTGAGCTCACCTTCAGCTTACACCTGGCATCTTTCCTGAATTCTGTGTTGGGCCTTATGAGGCACACAAAATGAACTGAGAAGCTGATTTTCTGGTATGTTCTGTTCACACACACCTGGCCCCCAGTAGATGCCAGGCACATGATGAAGCTGGGCAGTGATTCTCAAGCCTGATCCCAGACCAGCAAGCAGGATCAGCATCACCAAGGAGCTTATGAGAATTGCAGATTTTCAGGTCACACCCTAGACTTCCTGAAACGGAAACTCTGGCGTCTATCAGTGTTTTCTCAAGCCCCCCAGAGACGCACGCTGAGTCTGAGATCCACTGTGCTGGGGAATCGGAGGTGCGCCCAATCCTGGAGGGAGGTTCCCATCTCCATCCTCGGTGGAGACTAACACCGCTCCCGCAACTGGGCTGGAATTTCAATGCAGGTGGTGCTGAGCGGCGGCCAAAGAGTCGAAAGCCGGAACAAGGGGACTCGCTTTCTTCCTGCACCCCGATTTTACTTACATTACCCGGGGCCTCGAGGGTGACTGATAGAGATTAGCCCTGAGCGCCGGCCCCTCGGCGTCGCGACTGCAAGGCGAGAGAAGGGGAGTCAAGGGAGACGCCTGATTCCTTTGACCGTCCCCCTCTGCGAGCTCCTGGGGTGCACAGCCCCAGACCAGCAAACTCTGGGCAGCCCGGCAGCCGTCGGAACCCTTCCCAGGTCTTCCGCCCGGAGCTAGAGGGCGCACTCCCTGACGGGAATTGCGGTCTCGGCAGCCCGCGGGCCTCAGGCTTTCCGGGCTCTGCTGCCTCCGGAAAACTACAAGTCCCAGGATGCCCGGCGCGGGAGGGTCACGTGGGAGGAGCGGCGGGCGCTGCTAAATAGTCTCCATCGGCCATTTTGTGGGAGAAGCCGCAGCGCCGCCTCTTCTCTCGCGTCCTCGCATCCGTCGCCGCCGCCTCTTCCTCCGCCTCCTCCTTCGCCTCTTCCTGCCTCCTCCCGGCTTCCGCCGCCGCCACTCCAGCCGCATCCCAGCCCCGGAGCGAACCGTTTCCGTATTTATTTCCGTCTTCTCGCCACTGCAGCGTCCTGACACTGTGATCCGGGCGGGCCCCGCAGAAATTTTATCCCCTCACCGGCCTCACACTAGTATCGCATGTCCACTATCCAGAACCTCCAATCTTTCGGTAAGATCCCGTCGCCGCCGCCCTCCTCCCTTCCTCGCGCGCCCCTCCGCCTGCCGCCCGCCGGGACTGCCGCCCCCAGAGCCCGCGTTGGCCCTCCCCGCGCCCCGACTGTGGCTTTGTCTCGGCGCCCAGAAAATGGCGACGGGGCCCCTGGCGACCCCCTCCCCGAGGACAGCGCCGGACGGCGAGCCCTCCCCTTGGAGCCCCGGCCGCGGGCCTGCCCTCCCCCGCCCCGTCCCCGGCCCCGTCCTTGACCCGGCTCCCGCCCCTGCCTCTGCCCCCTGACACTTCGGCGACCGTATTTCGTGGACTCCGGGATTTGCCCTGCTGCTTGCAAAGGGGATGCCGGGCCCGGGGGATTGGGGATCGCCGTCCGCTCTCCGCAGCTCCGGGGGTACTGGGGGAAGGGTGCGGACGCAGGCCTCGCATCTGTCACCGGGCAGGGGTTCAGTCTTCTCTGCTTGCGTAGCGATTTGTAAAATTACGCCTTTTGAGATATGTATTTAATCTGCTCTTTTTTTGGCAAGGCACAGTTACGGTTAAATGATTGGGGTGGGCATATTCGAATGTTTATGTTTTGATCAGAACGTAATCGAGATGACGCACGTTTTTATAGCGGCTGTAAAATTAAGGTTTTCCAAATCTCCTTTCTCTCTAATTAGAGGACCATGTTCAACGATAACATGTATCTGTAACAGACATAGGTTTTTCTACAACGGACATAGGTGTTCAAATGTTCTTCTCTTTTTCTGAGAGTACCTTGGGGGTTTTATTAATACTCCACCCTCATCTTCATTCCTACCCGCAAAAACAGCAAAGGCACTAGAACCTTCATTGATGACGATCTGGATTGGTACTGTAACATATTTCTGGAAAGTGCTTCCTAAAAATTATTTTTCTACTTTGGCTGCTTCTTTGTATCCATTTGCAGACCCCTTTGCTGATGCAACTAAGGGTGACGACTTACTCCCGGCAGGGACTGAGGATTACATTCATATAAGAATCCAGCAACGGAACGGCAGAAAGACACTGACTACTGTTCAGGGCATTGCAGATGATTATGACAAAAAGAAACTTGTGAAAGCTTTCAAAAAGGTAAAAGGATTAGGAAAAAAGGATTAGAATAGAGTTACTGAGGCGTACCTCTGAACCGGATTATGATTCACACCTTTATATCAGCGGATGAAAATGACTAGACCAAAAAGTTCTTCTCATTTTTGTAATTAACACGTAAATATTTAGTTATTCTCCCGGTGTCATCTCTCATTTTAAAAGAAGATTCTTGTGGCTTTCGTGTAAATTTAAATGTGAAATATTTAGTTCTTGATGCTACACATAAAATCCTTTCCTGATTTGCAAATTAATTTGGAAGAATTGTGGATTGTAGAAGACAAAATCTGTTTCTCTAAATTAAATCAAGCTTACTGAAATGGTAAATTCTGTTCTTTTGGTGAAATAAAACCTCATAGTAGTTGACTAAATTTTGTTGTATATTTATGCACTTTTCCAGAAATTTGCCTGTAATGGTACTGTGATTGAACATCCTGAATACGGAGAGGTTATTCAGCTTCAAGGTGACCAAAGAAAAAACATTTGCCAGTTTCTCTTGGAGGTGAGTGATTGGGTGCCTTTTGTGTAACCTTGAGATTGCTTTTAAAATTGTATTTAAAGGCAACATGGTTTGTTTTCTACTAAGTAAAAATCATAGGAATGAAGTAAATTAGTTGAAATAATTTATTTATTGATACAGTACTTCGTGGGAAAGCAAAGACCTTTATCTGGTTTATTTTGTCATTAGAGTATTCTGATCATGTCTGTATGTACACACAGGATATTTCTTGGCATGTAAAGTATTCAAATATATGTTGAATTGTTGGCTATCAACAGTGCATGCCACACATAACAGTGTTGCAATAAGCTGTTAATAGTGATTCTTTTTAATTACTCTTCCATGTCTTCTTAATGAATTTATATAATTCTCAGGGTTATTTTGCTAAGTTAAATTTTATTTTACAGGTTGGCATTGTCAAGGAGGAACAGCTTAAGGTTCATGGATTCTAAAATGAACCTAAATACGTGGAGAATTTCTTGAATAGTTGTGTTCTCTAAACTCAGTTTGGCTGCTTTGTGAAATGATTCCCTGCAGTAAACGGACTTCTCATTTATTTAATCATTCAAACTTCCATTCACATCTGCATGATTACAGAAAACATGGGGTATGTAGGCTAGTAACACATAAGAAAATTGCAGTAAGATGGTAACGAAACCTCATATTCGCCTTTACATGTTTCCAATGGAAAATGTTTTGAGTGTTTATTGTTTGGTTTATTACGTTTCACTTGATTAAATGTTTTTTTGTTGTTGTATTAAACCATGTATGTTGCAGCTTAACAATAAAAAAAAAAAAAATCTATGAATCCTTGTGAGCAGTTATGCTCCCAAATCTAAGCAAGTAAAATACACATTTTGTCTTTCTTAATTGGAGTTATTCTGCAAATATTCTTTCTGATTAGCTTCAGCTGTTATACCCAGACCTAGAGGAGAACCCTTTGTTATATGTAGCTTGTGTTTTTCATTTACTGATAGAAGAATAGAGGCAGGAGTAGAAATTCAGCCAGAGCCACTGTTCTTGGCAAAACCAGTAAAAGTTGACAAGGAATTTATCATACTGTAATATTAAATGTTGTAAACGAGTATGAAGTTGAACAGTATTAGCACAGAGTTCTTTTCTGTGTTCTTATCAGTTGTTACTGAGTTGCCAACATAAGCCTATCCCTAAGGACTAGATATTGTAATAGTCTTGTGACATAAAGTATATTTAGTCACAGGCACTTCCCTGCAGGGGTAGGTTGATGGTATCACTGTCTTACAGATGGAAAACATTGGGCCTCAAGTTAATTTCCCAAGAGTGCTAGAAAGTGACAGGGTGTCAGCCCAGAGATACCAGCCAGGAAATTTATTTCACTACATCATGGTTTTGGTATGTGTTTTACCAAAGGGAACCAGAGCCACGAATGACAATGATCAGAGGTGTGGTAGCGGTGTAAGAAATAATCGGACGAGGAACAGTGGCTCACACCTGTAATCCCGACACTTTGGGAGGCCAAGGTGAGCGGATCACTTGAGGGTGGGAGTTTGAGACCAGCCAGGCCAACCTGGTGAAACCCCATGTCTACTAAAATGCAAAAAATTAGCCAGTGCGCACCATAGTCTCAGCTGCTCAAAGCTGAGGCCCCAGAATCACTTGAAACAGGGAGGTTGAGGTTCACTGAGTCAAGGTGGCACCACTGTACTCCAGCCTGGGCAATAGAGCAAGACTATTAAAAAAAAATAAATATAATTTGCAGTTCTTAGAGATTTCTGCAGCTCATCCTCTTGAGTTCCAGGCTCCTTTCTATTAAGTAGTAGTTATTTACTTGGTTCTAGAGGCTATGCCACTAAAACCATTTAGCCAATGCAAAGAAATGCATCTATAAGGGCAAACTTTTTAGCTTACTACAGTTGGATAAGGATGGTATGGGAAAAAAGTCTTGTTTTGGGCCAGTGAGCCCTAATGAGCCCTGGCCTGTATTTTGATGATAATGTTTTTGGGAAAACAAAATCAGCCCCCTCAAAGTTTGCCTCTTAAAGACATTAATAATAGGTTTATTATTTTCTCACCCTATTCTGCCTCCAATACACTAAGACAGACCAGAGGTAAGAGGTATATACCAGAATATAGTCCCAAATTTGATAAGTTCATTTCTGGAAAACATCAATATAGTTTGATGAAGAAGGTCAAGAGGTTTGGAAGAATTTTCCAAGTTTTTAAGAACCTACTTTTTCATCTGTAGTATTGTAAAATAGCACCCTATTGAGGGGTGCTATGGAAATAGTAAAGCAGAAACATACTAGCAGCCACATTCAAGTGCTGCCGAAATAAATAAATCTGGTGAGAGCTGAGCTACTGCCAAGAAGATAATGTATCTTGGGAAAGAATGCACCCCTCACGCTGGGACCCATAGACAAGCTCTGTAGTAATCACTTCCTGTGTCAGTCCAAAGTGGGTGGGATTAAATGGCTTGAGGAAAACTTCCTTCTGAATTTTGTGGAGAGCACCCTTCCTAACCCTTCCCTTCAGCCTGTGAGCTCCAGACACCTGATTGGACGTTGAAATTGGAGGGCAGTCCCAATCTTCAGAGCAAGAAAGAGACTAGGAGGCATTGTGTAACTGGAGGGAAGATGACATTTCTTACTGGCGGCAGCCAAACTGCCTTCCGTGCTGGAAGGTCTTGATCTGCAGTTTCTTGAGTGGTTTATACTTGAGGTTGCACAATGCATAATACCAAGTAGAGGACAAATAGATTTATCACTGGACTTTTAAACCTGGCGAAACCCTTAGGAAGTTAAAACCTCTGGTTGAATCACAGCCTGGAGTGAAGTGCTGCTGGCAGCAACGTCCTCTGCCTTTCAGTGCTGGTCCTGAGGCAGAGGAAACCCCATGGAAGCAGTGTGATCAACCTGCTTAGGAACCCGGGTAACTCGGGAACTGTTGTCTTAACCATTCTAGAAAGGGGGTGGCTCTGATCATAGGGAAGGGGCAGTCTAGTTCAGTCATGATGGAAGTTAACCAAAATAACTTGAGGAATATGGAGTGGTAATGGAGGCTTCTGTGTGCCACATAATGCCGCCAGCGTGGCTCCACTTAAAGGAATAGATAATGACAGCTTGG